TAATAAATTGAATTTTTTAATCATATAATAAATTGAATATTTTATGGTTATTTTAATTTATTATTTATTTTTTATTTCTAAAATCACGATAACGTAATCAAATGACCATTATTAAACAATTATATCATAGGCCTAAAGAATTTGAAAGTCAAGAGAAAATTCCCGATCAAACAAGGTAAAAATTTTTTTTTCATTTCCTTATGTTGAAATTCTTACATAAAACTATTTAAATTACTGTTAAGGTCTTCCGGGAATGATTCAGATGACCAAATTTTCGTGAATACAAATCGTATAAGAGATGTACAAGACGATGATGATAATTCTTCAAGTGACCTTGAAGAATGAATGAGGCTTGAAGTCATCAAGAATTATTAATTATTTATTCGATTTTAAATTTGAACTAATCTTTGATAGATTATTCTAATATACATTTTTTGATTCAAGGATTTTAAATGCCTAATAAAATTTTCTATTCAAAATCGTATTCTCATTAATACCGATACAGTAATAAAAAATTTTATGCAGATCCTGATTATCTGATTGTATGAGTAGTACAATATCACAATGTAATATTTAAAGACATATAAATACTGTATTTATGAATGTATATACCATGTCTTTTACTTCACCCCTTGACGATTCATTGCAATCTCTTCTGAACCAGTTAAACACTGAGTTTGACGAATGTCTAAAACAAATCGTGCCAAATGGCTTAGATAATACCGTGAAATCTAGTTCTTCTCAAGATGAATCACAGGGTAATTTTCAACTAAATATCAGTTGGCTAATTTAATAAAAGATTTTTAATTATATATTTATTCATTTATTACAAAAACAAAGCGAAGAAAGTTCGTCTCCTCAGATTTTTACAAATAGCTAAAAAATTGGAAACAGCTTTATCAAAGATCATTCAGTCAGAAAAACAACAGGAAAAAATTGCTTTACAAGATGTAATTTTCGTTTTATAACATAGTCAAACCGATTAAATCTTAAAATTATTTTAACAATTGTTTTTCAAATTAATATTATTTGATATTAAAGGAAATCATTGGATTACATCAAAATATAGCACAACAAAGAGAAGTTATTGAGAAATATACTGCCTTGGTTAGAGAGTGGTCAAAAGAATTTAGTGAATTAGAAGAAGAAAATAAATTACCTTTATAGAACTTTGATATTTTTTTGATAGATATATTGTAATCAATAGGGTTTCTGCACCTATTATATCTATATAATTACTAATATAATTGCAAGTATATAACCTTATTTGAAAAACCGGTTTTAAATTAAACAAATCTTGAACATTTGAAATTTTGGTTTATTTTTTTTTATAAAATTTTTATTTGGATATGGGCATATGGACAAAATTTTATGTCAAAATTCGCCTAATTGCCAACACTGGTTACACTGCTTTGAAAAAGAAATGTATCAAGTATTTTATAAAATTTATTAATTGCGTACTATCATACAATTATATGCTTAGCGAATAAAACCATTAAAATTATTTTTTTAATGACTTTACTAACACGCAATACCACAGTTGCAGTATTTTAAAGTATTTTAAAACTTATCTAAATGAGTGCGTGAAAGTGAAAACCTGTAACCAATCATAGTAAATCATTAAATCTATTTCCAGATTTTTACTCGCGCACTCAAATAATTAGCATTTGGTGTTCTAATGTTTAGCATCCCAAAAAACCCCTAATACTAACAAAATTGCTATAAAAAATATATGTATTGAACACCATTGGTGTGATTTGTTTTTTTTTAATGTTAATCTTAGTGATATACTGTAAACTTCTCTGAATTGGTATAATGAGCATAATGCACAAATATTTCTGGTTCGCCATGAACTAATCTTCATACTGATTTTCATTTAGAAATGCAGAGTTCAATTAGATTTATTAGAGCTTTTAGTATTTTATTAGAGCTTTTAGTATTTAAATATTCTATTTCTACTTGTTCACATCTAAACACATAGCATGTCTGTTGTAAGTGGGAACGGAATTTGGAATTTCCTGTTAAATTAGTATTTGAGAGTGGTGTTTATTTATATCCTAATTCTATAATTCTAAGAAATTCAAATCCACCTAAATCCTGTTCCCACTTACAACATCTATATATTCGATATTATTTACATTCAAATATACGTGTAATTATTGAGAATTAATATTTGACACTGACTAAAAATAAATCAACAAATCATGTATATAATCGGAGAGGAACCATTTTTTCGAAAATAAAAAGCAGTGAAAATATATGATATAAATAAAGATAATTATTACTGAATTAGTTGTTTAAAATTACTATTATAATACAATCAATTTAGTCTTCATTTTACATCACTCGTCACAAATCTGTTATAAACCACCGGCTATTTGTTCTATAATCTGTAACAAATTTCAAATGGTAAATAACATTAACAAAATAAAAAAAATCATGATCAAATTTAAATATGGATCACTAACTGTATTTTCCAGTGGTGAAGGATCTTCAGCACATCTTCTAAACGCACTTGAAGCTAATTCTTGTAGCATTGTATTCAGTATTCTATAACATTATAAATCATAAATAAATTTATGTACATATTAATTATAACTACATAGAAACATATATACCTCTCATCCTCGATATATTTCCAAAGCTTAAGTCGTACAAATTCTGAATCCACTTGAATTTGTTGAAATGTTTTATTTGTTAATGTTTGCATTCGAACGGTCTCTATCCACGTCTAGAATCACAAAAAAAGATATGCATATCTTCATATTAACATATAATTTTTTATAGTTGTTAATTACTGATTTCTAGGTTTATAGATACCTTTAGTAATATCTTTATGACACCCATCATAATTCCTGGCTTTCCAACTTCAACAATTCCAAAAATCTCAATTCTATCAGAAAACAATTTATCTATATGAGAGGTAAGATGTGTAAAACTGGCAAAAAACGGGTTTGATGTTTTCGGGCGATTTGAATTTATGGATGAATAGGAAGAATTTGAATGAGCATAAGGAGCTCGTACGGTATCTGAGTTGTCTTTATTTACTGCCGAATTCTGTTCAGTGGATGGTAGAGAATTATTGTCTGCATGTCAAAAAAATATTTTTTTTTTGAGTTTGCATTATTTCAGATAGAGTAAGCATTCTTGTGTAAAAAAATATTTCATTACCTTGATCATCTAGATTATTTTCCTCCTCAGTCCCATAAAGCATCACAACTTCTTTCTCAATAAGTACCAATTCTGTAACGATGGAATTCCATATTTTTGAAACACCCGTTGGTTGTGATGACACATCAGTTAAATTTGTAGGGATTGATTTCATTGTATAAAGGCTGCGAATGCCCATAGAAATTCGATTCCCAACAATCTCCACATATCGTTCCAAAATTCTCTATAAATCAATTAAAAAAATTGTAATTGTGCATTCAGATTGTATCACAAAGGTTTAAATGCTTTTATACCTGAGCAATATCTTTACATGCACCAACAATTTCTCTAACATCTTGTGTCAGCTCTTTAGAGATAGCGTGACGTTCACCATAACCACCATATATATCAATCGAAAATTTATTTTTATTATTTCGGGGAGTGTATAGTCTATCAGAAAAAGATGTGTAAACTTGTGTAACGATAATTTCGCCGAAATCTAATAACATGCGAGACATGATTAGAGAAATGATCGGTGGTGGCGGATCTTGTGGATTTATCGGGTATGGGTTTATTGGAGAAACAAATTTCTAATGCCAAACGAAAATTAGACAACCTTTATAGTAACGCAAAATTTTAATAAATATTAAAAGAAACCCACCATTATAGAATTGATTAAAGAATACCAAAATTCTCGAAATTCTGCTTGAATTTTTTTTAAAAACTTTTCAACGTCATCCTTATTTTCAAACATTGGCACCTCAGTCTTCACGCATTCCTTAAATTAAAAAAAGCATTTGATGATTTAGCACTATCCCAAATATTCTTGGATTACGTTATAAAGTACTCCGTTATAAAGTACTCAATTCAAACAAACCTCTATGATCCTTAGACAATCTTTTGTTAAATACGTGGTCAACCAAGTTTCTGTATCCAATACAAACGTTTGCACATATTTAAATCGTTGTTGTGATGACGAAAAAACCTTAGTTTTCTGTTTTTCAGAAAACTCTATAAATTTTTCTATTTAAAAAAATTATGATCAAAAAATAAAAAAAAAATAAAAAATAAAAAATAAATAATAAATTAAAATAACCATAAAATATTCAATTTATTATATGATTAAAAAATTCAATTTATTA